CTAAATGCATTACTATTAGAACTATAAAGAGTTAGAGTTAACCCTCTTCGAAAACCCAACGGTAAGAAAAAAGATTAGTAACGTATATTATTTCTTGTTTTTCATATTTATTTTTTATTTATTATTATAAAAGTAAATAAAATTGAAAAATATGGATCATTTTAAGTTATTTAAGACTAGATTAGGTAAAACAAGTAATAATATTATAATTAAAAGGCATGCACGTGAGCAGCTCGTGGGTAATATAATTCAATAGCATAACGTGATCTGCACGTTCTCTGAGTGATTTACAACTTTTTATGGTGCGGAAAGTAGTTAGACACGGTTCAAATGGCAGTAAAACAATACAATTTAATTATAAATACATGTATAATGTTAGGAACTTAGAGCCATAGAGCCACTTAGGATAAGCGAATGTGGTTTCATGTTACAATTTGAAGTCATTCTAGAAAGAAAAAAGGGTAATTTAGGTTTATTTCGATTTTTTTATTTTTTTTTTATTTTGGTGGTTACAAAGTCGGTCGATTTGACTGATCCCATTTTGAGATAGGGTAGAGAAAATAACAGATAAACTATAAAGTTTTACTGAAAAAAACGTTTGAAATGCATTTAGGAGGTTTTAGGGATTACACAAAGGAAATTTGAGATTTTTGAAATGAGGAAAAGTATTTTTAATTTTAACATGAAAATTACTTTGCACTCGGATTATTCTAAAGATATATTCATGGACAAATCTTTATTTCATTTTGTTAAAAATACTTCACTTAAAAATAATATTTTTTGTATGTGAAAGATCTATAATATTAACTGAAAGACTGCCAAATTTTGTTAAGATATACACATTATATTGGAAGTTATAAGTATTAAATCTATAAAGACATTAAACAAGTACAGAAAGATCACATGGTCAGTAAAATTGACAGCCTGTATTGCCTAGATTGTTACATTTTTCACATAATTACCTAACAGGATCTTGTGAAAAGAGTCTGGATTTGCCCCTTATAATCCTTTTCACAAACATAGAACAGACTTTTGTGTATCATAGCAGTTAATTTTGTCAAATAGAAGTTTAAAATAAATTAAAGTACATTATTTAACAGTATGAAGTGTTTGATCTCATTTACTCACTTTTTGTATATTCAAATCCCATGGACAGGAATAAGAAAGGAACTTGAAGAAAGATAAAAAGGCAAGGAAAATGAAAATGGATTTGTCTAATGATTAACATTTATACAATGATATAAAATGCATGCTGTTAAAATTTTCATGGTATGGGAAACCAACTGATTTACAAAAGGGGATAGGTTGGAAGTTAAAACAATGGAAAAAGGGAGAAAAATTAATGATGAAGAAACAAAATCGGAAATCCTAAAATGCTGTATTGAAAGAGACAATTAGGATTTTGAATTCAATTTCCAAAATTTATCTCTAATCTTTCTGTTGGTTAAAAGAAAATTGGGTCACTTGATTGTCATCACTACTCTCTGATTGGTCCAAAAGATTCTACTTTCTATAGCTGCGTTTATGAACACTGTTACCTGTTTCCCCATTCATGCATCATGGTCATGAGTTATCATTGACTACACACATCTGATGAGCAAAGGAACTAAAACTAGATAATAATAATAAACCTTTTTATTACAGCTATTGTTGTAGATGATAATTCAGTTCAGTGGAGAAACATTCACTTAATACTAAAATAATCCATTTCTCTGTGCTTTTGTAAATTTACCGATACCTTACTTAATTTTTAATTTCATTGTTCAGTCATATTAATATTTCTGTTTATTAACAACTAAATGTCAGGTTCCTGATTAACATATGACATCATGTCCTGTGCTTCCTCTCAGAAGTGATATTGTAAGCAATTGTTAGACCTAACAGGTATCACATAGTCAAATTATACCCAACTAAAGTTAAAGCAGTTTTATTCAACTTTTTATACTTGCTCATGATTCACTCTCACAAATGATTTGTAGTAACCAGACATCATTCAGAAGAAACATTTAGAAAACAGCATTTGTGTACACATATTTGATAATAAAAAAATTAGCAAAGTTCTCTTAAAAATTTACACTTGGCATCCATTTTGTCTCTTAGCTATTAAACTCAGATTTCTTCCCCAGACCTTACTAATTTTGAGGGGGGGGGGGTAACCCAAAAAAAGCTAGCTTTTAAGTTGCCAAATTATTATTATTACTTCATTTAAAAGTTACTTTAAAATTCTCCTAAACACATGAGTTGTTACCTGAAAATTTGCCTTCTATCAGAAGTTAAATGTTGTTATAATCATAGACAGAATTCAACACTTATGTGAATATCATCCAGTAAATGTGAATAGTAAAAAATCATTCAAAGCTACCTTTAAACCCTGGGAAGTCAAATCTCACTGTTCGGTCTGACAAGAGTAGCCCAAGAGTAGGTTTTTTTGTGGGGTTGACTAGCTGCATTCCATCTTACTTAGAAATTAGGGACAGCTAATGCAGATAGCTAAGCACAAAATCCATCAAAACAAACAAAAAACCTTGATCCTCTCCCTTTATCCATGATGCAAGCTATAGCTATGAACCAACTATCTTAAATTCTTATTCTAAAATATATATTGCTTTAGCTTACTGCACTTTAATCATAACCTTAAATTGTGATATGCATTTTTAGTTTATATATATATTGCTTTAGCTTACTGCACTTTAATCATAACCTTAAATTGTGATATGCATTTTTAGTTTATATATATATTGCTTTAGCTTACTGCACTTTAATCATAACCTTAAATTGTGATATGCATTTTTAGTTTTTCGTGTATGTTTAATAATTCTCCCAGAATTTAGCTTATCTCATCATGTATTCAATACACACTAAAGTTTAAACCCAGTCCTTTAACTACAAATATACATTTTAAAATCTATCTCATACTTCTAAAAAGTTCTTAAATGATGAATTTAGATCACCACATTACTCATTTGCTCAGAATTATGTGATGAGTTTCACCTTTTTTTTTTCACCTATTTGCCAACTTAGACTTATCTGTATGACATAATTGACTTTTTCTTCACATTCTACATTTGGTCTTTTTAAAGATCTTTCTCTATATATGTTAATATATTTTACAAATGTGTATGGGGATTAAAAACGATTTTTTTCTCACTAATTTTGGCTTATTTATGAAGTTAAATTTTCCTGAACAGTTTTGCATAGCTTAGTGAAAATGGGTGGGTAGAAATGTGTGACAATTCAAAACTGGAAAAATGGCTTTCTGAGTAAGAGAAAATACAGCCAACTTGAAAATCATTCAGCCAAAACTACCATTGACCAGTTTTTCATTAATACAGTAATTATAATAATTGATGTGTGCTTGATATTTTTACCATTCTGTAGTTGTTTGATTTGTCATCTTTTCAACTGAGAATACTTGTATGGTACACAATTTTTAACATCTTCGTGTGTATGTATCTATCATTTTGGAGTATATGCTGAGCATATTAAGGAATCACAATTTTATGTACTTAGTTACTGTTACAAGGTATTCCTTGTTGGACATTCATAGAGAGTAGTTGTCACTTAAGAAAATCTAAAAGTGGTAATTCACAAATGGAAGTATTTTATTTATAGAGATTTTTCAGGATATTAATACCAAAAGTCTTTGTCTTCTAGATTTGTTTTCACTTGCATCTTATCTCCTTCTATGAAACACAATTGACTCACTTTTGTCCATACTATTCAGAAATGGTGTGCTTATATTATAAATGAGGCTTAGAAGTTATTTAATGTGTGGTTACATTGTACTGTTTTTTAAGCTATGGCAGAATGTACACTTGAACTTTCAATCCAGAAGTTGCTTTGGTTTCTTTTTTTAGTTTATAAATTTTTTAAATTTCTTTCTGTTTTTTATAGAACATATTGAAAAGGAAATGAGAGCATTATTTAATATTCCTGACAATAAAGAAACTCGACTATGGAACCGGTACAGTAGTAACACTTATGAACATCTGAGCAACAAAGATAGCACAGTTCAAGATGCTGGTCTCTATCAGGGTCAGGTGAGGATGGCAGAAACAAAGATCCTAATGTAACAATATTACATTGTAATTAGTGATACTGGAAATATTTGAATTAAACAAAAAATAAATCCATCTTATTATCTTACAGATTGTTTTTCAATTAGAAACTAATTGTTTTAATTCAGAATTTGTTTGCTTAATGTATTTTTTAAAAAAAGACTTCTTATGAACGTTATAATTGGACTTTTTGTTCGTTAATGCAGGTTCTAATTATTGAACAGCAGAATGATGATGGCACTTGGCCTAAACATGTTAAGAGGTAATGTGTGTGTTGTATCATAATTTGTGCACATTTTAAATATAGAATAACACACTTTTCTGAAGGAAGTATGCAGTAAATTTTAAATATTAAACAATTAAAGAAAGACTTCTTGTCTATTCTTGCATAAAAAAAGTTTAATTATGTTACTAGTAATAATAATTACAGCACTGTTTTAAATGTATTCCAGTGACATAAATCATTCTTTGTTTGAACATTGTTATTGCAGTAAAGAGTTATGTAAAATTATTAAAACGGATTACAGATGGTTTGAATTATAACTGAATAAATTTAGTTAGTCTTCTAAGATTTGTGGTATCTTTAAGTTTATATTCAGCATTTATAAAAAAATTTTGCCAAGTATATCTGACATTATTTAGGAAGTAAGTAAGAGACCAAAAGTCACATTGTAGCCAGGAGTGTATATAACTTACCTTCATAGTAAAGTATCACCATATAAATGAGAAACAAGTTTGTTGTTACATGGCATATTTTTCACAAGATATTGAAGCACTGTAAATTGATATTGGATGTGACTTGCTGTGTAGGAGAAATTTTATAATTGTTTTAAACTATTCAAAGAAAAGCTATTGTTTTAACCATAGTAACTAAAGTTCAGAAAAATTATGCAAAAATGTGATTTAAAATATGTATTTTACTCGGAATAATTTATAATTTAGCGATTGAGATCTTCTATTAAAGATAATCACTTTATTTAACGGTTATATAACTGAAAATTTAATTTTGAACTTACAATGGAAAGTATACATCCATAGTATGGTTTGGGTATATATATAGTATCTATGATATTTTGGTATAAGATTTATTGTGCAACTTCTGACTTATCAAAATCCTTGTTTTGTCAGTACGGGGTCAGCTTTGAGCTACTCTAACACATCAGGGGTGGGGACTGCTGATAATCGTTCTTACAATAACCAAGCTAACGTAATGTAAGTACACTTGTTTTTTGTGCTTTGTTATAACTTCTGTTTGTCTCTTAAAATTTTTAAAAAAGCTATTTTCTTGTATTGTTTTAAAATTCTTAAAAATCATCCATGCATGCTCATTAAAAAAAGAGAGTTTATTGCATAATATAAACCTAACGTCATATCATCAGAATGAAGCTGCTGATGTATCTTAAGCTTACAACTGAATAAATAGTTTTGTAATTTGTTTTATCAAATTTTAGACATTGGTTTTTCTTTACAAAAACTTAATCCTATAGATTACAATTATGCTAGCTATAAAGTAGTATTAATAAAAATTTCTTTATTTTTGGTTAACTTCACAAGCTTTGGTAGACAGCTTAAATGCTATTGGATATCATGGAGTGTACTTCACAATGCTTGAAAATTTTATTTCTTTTGACTACTGAAGGATTAATTCAAAAATTTTAAACTTACATTTCTGCATATCTCTGAGAAGTCTGCTGAAAACAAAGCATGTATTGATTTTTTTTTCTTTAGATTTTTTTTTGCTTATCCAAAAGTATTGGTTTATATTTACCAAGAAACTGTCATCTCTTTACAATATAATTATCAATGTTTTGTTTATCGTATGATTTTTTCTTCTCTTTCTCTGGATTTTATTAGTATATCCTCTCATTCTTACCCTTTTATGATCTTACAGCAGATGATTGAGCATCTACTAATGAAGTTAAGCTTTTAAAATAGCTACAGACAAAGTTTAAATACTATTAGATAGAGCATATTATGAACTGTTTACGTCAATTTAGAGTGAATAAAGTGTTTGTGAGAGTAATTTATAGTTTTGTGGGAAAAAAAAGAGAGATCTAGCTTGTACAGATAGGGACAACACTATATAGTGGGAAGTTTAAAAGAGTTGGTAACAAACCACAGATCTGAGAATTTTTCATAGTTTTAAAAATCCTTGTTTTGTCAGTACGGGGTCAGCTTTGAACTACTCTAACACATCAGGGGTGGGGACTGCTGATAATCGTTCTTACAATAACCAAGCTAACGTAATGTAAGTACACTTGTTTTTTGTGTTTTGTTATCACTTCTGTTTGTCTCTTAAAATTTTTAAAAAATCTATTTTAATTACATACATTTAGAGTGAATAAAGTGTTTGTGAGAGTAATTTATAGTTTTGTGGGAAAAAAAGAGAGATCTAGCTTGTACAGATGGGGACAACACTATATAGTGGGAAGTTTAAAAGAGTTGGTAACAAACCACAGATCTGAGAATTTTTCAGTTTTATTTACACATCCATTTTGTTCCTGGAAATGATTTTATATTAAATGATATTTGTTTGAAAACTATGGAAGTTTTCTTCTACAACAAAACATCATGTAAGCCTTATTAGGTTTAGAGAATATGTTGAGTATTGTCAAAATATTGTGGTGAATCAAATTCTTATTTATCGAATATTATTGTTAAGTTTATCATATTCAATCTCACGTGTGAATAAGATAACTTATACTTTATCAAGACTAAAATATATCTGTCAGGTATAAAAGGATTTTGGCCAAAATTATTGCTAGCAAAAACATTGTTACCTAGTCTGTGCTATCAACATTTTAAAAGGTCGTGTCCTAGGTCATTTGATAAACATTTGTCAGTTTTTTTGGTGTTTTTTTTTACAATATATAACCAGATGTGCCTACTGAAGTTGACAAAGTAAAAATGTCAAAATCAGTATGATAATGAATGTAATAGCCCCCAGTGGCACAGCTGTATGTCTGCGGACTTACAACGCTAGAAACTGGGTTTCGGTACTCATGGTGGGCAGAGCACAAACAGCCCATTGTGTAGCTTTGTGCTTAATTCCCAACAAACAATGAATGCAATCAACTTGCTGATCAATATTTAAAAAAATGTAAAGTCTAAAGTTAAAGGAAGAATTTTCAGTAGTTTCTCAAAGCTGTGCTTCACAACATAAAAAGCTAAATCAAATTATATGCATTTTTTTAAAATCAAAAATAGATTCCATTTTATAAGTTTATTCTACATTTTTTGACATTTATTAATTATTTCTGTTGTAAGAAGGAAAAAAAAATCAAAGAATATTGGTGCCACTCCCCACCCTGGTCTCGAAAGATTTAATACTTGTGAAGCTTGATCTTACATTGTCATAATTTTTACTGTACTACAGAATACTTAATGTTTCATTATGGAAGATTTGGTGTGAGAGTTTACTACTTGTGTGGAGGTTGAACTGTGTCTTGAACCTTTACTATCTCTGCACTTTTGTGTCAGCATATGTACATCCTTAACCTTTTATTTATTTGATATATTTATCCACCTATTTCTAATTTATTGTGCTTTGATGTGTTTGGACTTCATTGTTTTTCACAGAGCAACGCAAAGCTATGGGTCAGTTAGTGGAGGTTATTCAAACAACACCTATAATTACGATTACCATAGTGGAGGGATGGGAAATGTACAACCTGGACTCTGTGGATTAAGTAACTTAGGAAACACTTGTTTCATGAATGCAGCATTGCAGGTTAGTTACTGTGTTTCACAGTTACATGATATCATTGGTGAAATATAATTTGTAAAATATGATATATAACATGCTCCTATGAATTTATTCAATTTTGTCTGTTTGTTTTTATTGTTGTTTCTTTCTCATCTTTTGTTCTGCCAAACTCTATTAATAGTATAGGTGGGATGATTCCAAAAATCTGGATTTCTATTCTAGGACTTCAGTGTGTTCACTATTCTTGATTCTGATTCTCCACAAAAGTAGTTATTTGTCATGCATTTCAGAGTGATAAGGAAAAAGAATAGTAAAGTTAGGCTATTCATAAGTTGAAGATTGGAAAAAGTTGCACAACAATGTGTTTTTACTGAGTTCATTCACATTATTTTTGGTAAATATGCATGTAAATAGTATTCATAGAGCTGGATAAAGCCTTTGTGGTTGGATGATTTCCCTCTGCTCAGCTACTTCATAGTTAGTGACAGCTGTATCTGAATCTTAGGGATTTCTGATCTGCTTGTTTAGCTCATTTGTAAATTAACCGCAGTTCAGGTTGAAAATTCCAACTTCATAAGGCATCTCAGAGGTCAGAGGAGAACATCTAAGGTAATGTGATCCAACATCTCAGTGTGGTCAGTAAAAGAATCATGTCTCCAATAAGTTGATCTGACATCCCAAAATGGCCATCTCTGTGGTCAGTAAGATAATTGTGTCTAAAATAAGTTGATCTCGCATCTCGGAGTGGTTTCAATTTTTTGTCTAGTATTTTTAGTTTCATTTTATTACTCTTTGAAGAAGATAATGTATTCTTAAAATTTTTATCACTTTATAAGTTTAGCTATTTTTAATGAGTAGTTATAATAGGGTACGATAAAAATCACTGATGTTTGTCACATTACAAATGAGAAATTGGTTCCTAGAGATCTTAAGCCCTGCTATTAAAATGTGAGTTGTATATGTAATTTCAACAGTTTGATTTGATAAAAAGATTCTTCAACTGGGGTTTAGATCATTATGAATGAAGGTTATTTCATTTCTTTGGTTTATTACAGTGTATGAGCAACACCCCTCTCCTTACCGAGTACTTCCTAGATGATAGATATTGGGATGAACTCAATGTGGAAAATCCTCTTGGTATGAAGGGAGAAATTGCTAGGTCATATGGGGAGGTTATTAAAACCATTTGGTCTGGTCAGTACACTTACACCATTCCTCGGAGTTTCAAGGTAAACATCTTTATATATTTTTATTACTTATTTTTTGGCAATTATTCTCCATTCTACATAAATGCTGCACTTAGATATTTTTTATCTATCAAGTGGAATCATTAAAAATGATCCAATAGTGAGGTTGCTGAAATTGTTCCAAAAATTTTAAGAGCGCAAATGCTTTAGTCAGAGTATTCTAATTTTGTTATAAACAAAAATTATGCTAAAGAGCCTTATAGATGTCCTTCTTTATCAGTTTTTCATAAATTAAAATGGCACTTGTGCACATACACACAACTAAAAGGAATACAACATTAAAATAACTGCATAATATATAACTTGTTAAAAACAGGGACCAGCCCTAAAAAGACTACATGGTTTGGTGTTCTTACACTACTGTTGACTCCTGAAGAGGGTGCTGTAAGAACACCAAAAGATGTAGTCTTTTTATGGCTGGTCCCTGTTTCTAGGAATAATATATAATCTAATTTTAAGCAAATTAACTAGTGTAAAGAAAAACTGAAAGGGTTAACTCAAAGTATTAGTATGTAGTGTTTATTTAAGCTAACTGTCTTTGTGCTATATTTTTTATGTATATTTTTTATAGTAGCCAGTTATACTACTAATAAATTATTTATTATGCAGTTATTTGGATGTTGTATTCCTTTTTATGTGTATACAGTGTTTTCATGCTTTTTAATATTTATACACCAAGAAAAAGTGTGTATGGAATACCAGGGACAAGTTTCTTGGTAATTAAATCTAGTTGTTGTTGAAAAATTTACTATAGTTTCATTGCAGTGCAAAATGAAAAAGTGGCTATTTTGTAGATGATGGTTGGGAGGTTTGCTCCTCAGTTTTCTGGGTATCAACAACAAGACTGTCAAGAACTTATGGCTTTCCTGTTGGACGGATTGCACGAAGACTTAAACCGCGTGAAAAAGAAACCATATGTAGAACTTAAAGAAGCTGAGGGAAGATGTGATGAGGTACCTTTTACATTTATCATTATTGGAAGTAAGGTCAATAATAATTTGATTATATTAGTTTCACAGTTACTGTTATAACAATACATGAGAACATTATTGCATTAAAGGTTGAGGTGAAATAATCATTTTTATGATTAATTGTAAGCCTTACGTTAATGTAAACATTTCTCCTGTAGCATTGCATTGAGGAATAATGAATTCATGTTACATCATTAGCTTTCCTGTCACATTATTTATCATTTTTAATTTTTAGGTTGTAGCTAAAGAGGCTTGGGAGAACTACCAAAAGAGAAACAACTCTATCATTGTAGACATATTTCACGGACTTCTTAAGTCTACGCTGGTGTGTCCTGACTGTACCAAAGTATCTGTCACTTTTGACCCTTTTTGTTATTTGTCTCTACCATTGCCAGTCAAAAAAGAAAGGCAAATCGGAGTTTTTCTTGTTCCATTGGATTCCACTAGAAGGCCAATACAAGTAAGAATGCAACTTTTTTTAAATGCATGGTGAATGAAAAAAATTGTTTCATACTTCTTCCCTTTGTATGCATCGTAAGTATGAAATCGTACTTTGATAATGAAACAGGATAGTTGGGATATGCAAGATTTAATAATAATGCAGAAAGAATGGACAAATAATCAGCACTGGAAAGTTTGAACTATTAATTTTGTTTTTATAATGTTAAATAATGAATTATTTATTGATAATTGAAAACAAGAAAATCCAACAAGACAAGAATGTTTTATTAAATTCTTCCTATTTTAAAACTTTTTAAATGCTCCAAATTTGAATAGAAACTTATATATACGTTCATACTTATCAATAAAACAATTTAGTATATGTATATATGTATGTATATAAAAGCCACTCTGTTATACGCTAGGTTTGTTGGTAACATTTGGTAACGCTGAAATTGCCTCGGTAATTATAGTGCCTGAACCTCAAGTGGAAGTCTCATGTTTAAATACCAGAACAGTTGAGATTTGTTATAATTATATTTTTAAAGTTCTTCCAATACCATATAGATTAAACCATTCTAACATCATCTATGAAATATATTCTAAAGTAAAATTCTGAATAAAACTAAAAATAGATAAGAAAGAGTGCAAAAAAGAAAATGTCATTTAGAAAGAGAAAGTAGATAGATGGTACAACAAAATCAAGAAAGCTTACCAGAAATTTTAGTGCATGACTCCATAAACATATAAGATTATAGAATAAAAAAATTGCCTTAGTAATATCTACATTATAATGAGTAATTTACTAAGAGTAGTGGTAAATAAATTATATAAATGGGAAGACCTAGAAATCAAATGTCACAGTTCTCATACTAGGAGATATTGAGGATTTTTTAAGACATTTTATTAAAAAAGTAATGATTTAAAACTTGTATTAATTTGATTTATTAAGTAAATTTTCCTGCCAAGTTTATTTGTATACAATGATAATAAAATAGTTTAATTAAATTTTGAATATGACTAAAAAGTTGTGAAATGCACACTTTGACCTACCTGTAGCAAGAGGTTATATAAGGAATCTCTCTTGATAGAAACAAATTGATTTTATATTATCTTGAGCCTTGATGTATGATTTTGAAACCATTATAACTAAGTTCATTGTATTTTTATACTCCAGCCATTGTTCTGTTATAAGAGCAGATTGTTGGACTGGGTAAAGATAGTTTCCAGATACTCTTTATTTATACTACTGAGTCTTTAAAATATTTGCTCCCAGGCGTTTTGCATTGATAGAAAATGATTTTATTAAAACATGCTAAACTTGGCTTAGATTTTGAAAAGGAGAACATTTCCACAAGTAGATAATTTTTAGGTGAAAAAAAAAATCTAATAGTTGTATATTTGTTCAGAATGGCAAATCTTAGAAAGTGTAGTGTAAATCTTTCTTCAAGCCAAATTGTGCCCTTGAACGTTCAGGCCAATACAACAACATCTTATAAAGTAAATTGACTCTTCATGAGTTTGTGCTATTATTAGAATGGCAGAGAAAGTCCCTCTTTTACCAGACAGAAACGGTGTTAACCTCAAGTTATAACTTTTGTGGAATATAGATAAAGGAATTAAATGACTATAAACATCAGTGTGTCAGAAACAACTTTTTAGTTAGATAGTTTCTTTCTAAAAATGGTAAAATTAATACAAATAATCAAGCAAACAAAAAACATTTGAAATGCACTACTAAGAACCTTAGATGCCCCTTTGTTTGTGTAAGAGTTTTGTACTTCTTCATTTTACAGGTGAAAGCAACTGTTCCTAAAATGGGGTCCATTCAAGATCTGTGTAATGCTGTTAGTAAAATTAGTGGTTTACCAGCTGACAAAGTGAGTTTGCACTGTGGTTCTGTGAGATCTGTAATTGTTAGTTAAGCAACTTGTTTATATGTCATGTAACTGTAAAAGGTTGTTCAGTTGAAAATAGAACTCCTGTCTGTGTTATATTGTGCATGGTGTACTATTCACATGCCTGGATTTGAGTTTTATACACTGCATATATTCTAAGGTTGTTTGACATCAGTAAGTGAGACTACATGGTACAGGAAACATATCTCTTTTTTTTTTTACCCTAAAGTACTTTTTGTTGAAGCATTCATGATCATATTGTTTCTGTGGTATGGAAAATTTTTTGTCACATAGTTCTATATTTCAAAACCAGTGCTTTTTTTTATTTGAAAATGATTTGAACATTCTTCATGGCAGGTAAACTGAACATTTTTCGTGGTAGGTAAACTGGACATTCTTCATGGCGGGTAAACATAACATTCTTCATGGTAGGTAAACATAACATTCTTCATGGTAGGTAAACATAACATTCTTCATGGTGGGTAAACTGGACATTCTTCATGGCGGATAAACATAACATTCTTCATGGTAGGTAAACTGAACATTTTTCGTGGTAGGTAAACTGAACATTCTTCATGGTAGGTAAACATAACATTCTTCATGGTAGGTAAACATAACATTCTTCATGGTAGGTAAACATAACATTATTCATGGCGGATAAACATAACATTCTTCGTGGCGGATAAACATAACATTCTTCATGGCAGGTAAACATAACATTCTTCATGGCGGGAAAACATAACATTCTTCATGGCGGATAAACATAACATTCTTCATGGCGGGTAAACTTAACATTCTTCGTGGTAGGTAAACTGAACATTCTTCGTGGCGGGTAAACTGGACATTCTTCATGGCGGGTAAACATAACATTCTTCATGGCGGGTAAACATAACATTCTTCATGGCGGGTAAACATAACATTCTTCATGGCGGGTAAACATAACATTCTTCATGGTAGGTAAACTTAACATTCTTCATGGCGGGTAAACATAACATTCTTCATGGCGGGTAAACATAACATTCTTCATGGCAGGTAAACATAACATTCTTCATGGTAGGTAAACTTAACATTCTTCATGGTAGGTAAACTGGACATTCTTCATGGCGGGTAAACATAACATTCGTCATGGCGGATAAACATAACATTCTTCATGGTAGGTAAACTTAACATTCTTCTTGGTAGGTAAACTTCAAATTTCTCATGATGTACCTTGTTTAAAGAAAATCTCTGCATTGCTTTTGTAAGTTGTATTTGTTATATTTTCTATTTTAGTTCTATTTTTATTTTAGTTGTGATTTTGAGTTTTTTACTGTATTGGTTGTGACATACCGGGTGGGGAAAAAGTTACTACAGTAAAAAACTTTATTATTTGACATTTGCTGAACATGGGCAGTGCCAGATAGGTGTAGTTGGTATTACATGCTTGTTTACTAAGGAAATATTATAAATACAGTCAAACCAATTTAATTATTATTTTTATCAGGTAGTAGTTAAAAATTAAACAACTGTATAATCACACTTATGTTCCACCTTGTATAGTATTGGAAATAATTATAAAAACAGTGACCAAAAAATGGGTATATATAAAAGGCATATATTATGGGAATGGCACTTTTTTTTTTATTCTGTGAAAATGTACTGCACCAAAGTACAGTCATGTTGATAGCTTGCATTGTGATTGGTCATCATCCAACCAATCAGAAAGTGCCACACCTGTATAAAGCCTATATAAGTACATGCAGTCATACTGTGTCAAGTAGTAATAGTAGTTTGATATCAGTCATTTCATTCACAGACTGAAATATTGTACTACAAACATGTAGGCATCAAAGTTTTGGCTGGTTAAGGATACATCATGGTGAAAATTGTGGGAAAATTCCATGTTTCAGAGGGAAATGTAAGCAAGACTCATGGTTATAGCTAGTTAATAGAAATTTTCAAAGTTAAGTATCTCGGGAGATGTTTTTAAAGAGATAGGTGACAATCAAGTACAGATCTTATCAGAGACATTGCTTTAAACACTGGAGTGAATGTTACCTTGAGAACAGTAAGATAATCATCAAGTAATGGGATCATTGGATGAGTAGTTGTGAAATAAACTACTGATAATAAGAGGTAAGCAAAAAATATATATATTGAAATGGAAATTGGAATACAAAATACAAACAGTAGAATCAGCAAAGCTAGAGTTGTTTCTTTGCAGATAAATCAAAGTACTAATTGTTCCACAACAGATAACAGTATCATAGTGAACATGAATATTTATAGTGAAGTGTGATGGACCAGAACAAACTTGTAGCTCCATCTCACCCAATGGTGTCAGTTATTTACACAAAATTGTAATTATCCTGACTTCTGACAAGTATATCAGATTATGATCCTTACACTCTTTCCCAAAGAACATGACTCATTGTGGAGGAAATTCATTTTTCAGCAAGACAGTGATCATAAAATGGCAAACAGATATGTATAATGTGTTTATTATTTCTCTCCAGTTGGTTGTTAGAGATGTTTATAATGTGTGTGTTACCTCTCCCCAATTGTTTGTGACAGATATGTATAGTAGTGTGTTGTTTCTCCACAGTTGGTTCTTACAGATATGTATAGTAGTGTGTTATTTCTCCACAGTTGATTGTTACAGATATGTATAGTATTGTGTTATTTCTACACAGGTGGTTGTAACATATATGTATAGTAGTATGTCATTTCTCCACAGTTGGTTGTTACAGATATGTATAATGGGTGTGTTATTTCTCCACAGTTGGTTGTTACATATATTTATAATGGGTGTGTCATTTCTCCACAGTTGGTTGTTACATATATCTATAGTAGTGTGTTATTTCTCCACAGGTGGTTGTTACATATATCTATAGTAGTGTGTTATTTCTCCACAGTTGGTTGTTACATATATCTATAGTAGTATGTCATTTCTCCACAGTTGGTTGTTACAGATATGTATAGTAGTGTGTTATTCCCCACAGTTGGTTGTTACAGATATGTATAATAGTGTTATTTCTCCACAGAGGGTTGTTACGGATATGTATAATATGTGTGTTATTTCTCCACAATTGGTTGTTACAGATATGTATAATGGGTGTGTTATTTCTCCACAGTTGGGTGTTACAGATATGTATAGTAGTGTGTTATTTCCCCACAGTTGGTTGTTACATATACTTATAGAAGAATATTATTTCTCCACAGTTGGTTGTTACAGATAAGTATAATGGGTGTGTCATTTCTCCACAGTTGGTTGTTACAGATATGTATAGTAGTATGTTGTTTCTCCAAGTTGGTTGTTACATGTACTTATAGTAGTATGTTGTTTCTCCAAGTTGGTTGTTACAGATATGTATAGTAGTATGTTGTTTCTCCAAGTTGGTTGTTACAGATATGTATAGTAGTGTGTTGTTTCTCCACAGTTGATTGTGACAGATGTGCATAACCATCGGCTTCATAAAATATTCCAACAAGATGAAGGAGTGAACAATATTCAGGACAGAGATGAAATATTTGTGTAAGTATTCAGTATTGTTCCAGGTGAGTTCTTTATTAACACTTTTACAGATTTTTTTAAAAGTTTTACAGATGTACTATATATTTAAAGGTTTTAAAGATGTATTTTTTATTTAAACTTTTGTATTTTTCAGGTATGAAGTCACTGTTTCAAGCTTTAGCGACCCCAGTACTTTAATTCTACCTGTCTGTATGAGAGAGAAACGGTATGCACATTCATTAACTTGCAACGTCTGAGTGAAATGATTGTCATATTAATGTTAAATTTAGTAAAGATAATCATGATGATGACAAATTCATCTTTTTAGGTATGCTAGAACTATTAGAATTAGCCCTGGATTGAGTTTGAAACATAATAAACACAGAAAATGTGTATATTAATACCCATTGCATCATTGAGAAAATAATTTTATATTATGTTTGGTGATGTTAAGTTCACTCTTAATAATTTTATTTCAGCAATGCACTAAAGCTTTAAAAAAAATGTGCTTCTAAAAGTTGCCATGTTCTCTTCTATCATCATGTGTCAGAACTTTTCCTTCCAGCTCTTCCACTTCGTACATTTATGATACTTTTTTTGATATTCAGCTTTTTCAATATTTTTTGGAAACCTTTTTACCGAAGATTTGTCTGTGAATTTCAAGCTCTTTATTGATTCAGTCTGAGTGTAAGATGATTTTCATGTTAATAACATGAATACTTTTTTTCATCTTATAGTTTTTATATTTCATTTGCATAACATCTAAAACCTCCTAAATGAACATCAGAAGTTTTTTCAGTAAAACAGTATACCTTATCTTTTATTATCTGTAGCCTAAAACTGACTGTAAGGAAATCATTAATCGGAAAAGTTAAGAAATGGGAAATAAAATAAAAAATACTTTTATTTGTTTAGAATGACTACAAATTATAAGAGTTACAATAATTTATTCTAACAACTTCAGACCCATAACTTTTTCACAACTACTTTCATTTAATTTTTTTTACTTCATTTTTCTTTAAACTGTGTCTGACTATCATAACAAAACAATAATTCTCTCGTTGAGAGTGGTGAAAGCTTTAGGTAAACTATAAAAGCATGAAACAAAACACCAACACATGGCAGTCTACATGCATTTCTCAAGGAGAAATTTTTCTTTAATTTTTTCCATTTAAGTTTTTTTTTTTTATATATAATCTAAGAAATTTCTTAGCTTAACAATGACAAATATACATAAAACAAGAAATTTAACAATTAGCTTAGTCTTGAGGTCTTTTTAGACATGGGTTCCTGTTTTGTAAGTCTTCTTTTTTCTAACAAAGTTCTGTGTCCAAAAAATAATTCATATAAGTAGCAGGTATGCATTTTAGAATAAAAAAAATATATTGGGCACTTGAATAGGATATACTTAAAATTTTATAGTTTTGTGGCTTTCTAACTAAGCTGTAAATAGGTTTAATAATTCCAATACTTTTCGGAGCACTGACTTCAGTCTATGGAAATCAAGAACTTACTTGTGAAACAGTGGTTTTTACTGGTAAAAATAACCAGGCAGTACAAAATAAACTTTCTTTTGGTTATAAACCTGTACCATTGACAAACAGGCATAAGCAAATAAGTGATTTCAAAAGCATGAAGAATTTGGAGAATCATCTGTTTATCATTATTATATTTTGTTTAATTAGTGGATTTTCCCAATTTTCTCATGGTAGCTAGGCTTTCTGTATTTCCTAGACTCCATTCATGTCTGTCTAACATTAGCCTTAGGCCTATACGTGCGTAATCAACAGTGGGTCAGTGTTTCAACACTGACGATTAACGATGAAAATTCTGAGTTTGATTTTATAAATTTGTTTGTTTTAGTTTATACCGAAGGTTTATCGGTGAGAAGTTCAGACAGCTGTGTTAGTTTTATTTTTGTAAGCATCTATACTAGAAATTAATCTCACTAAATATTTGTGCTATTGGCATTCATTATTATTGCAAATCCCTGCCTGCCCAAATATATGTATACAAACATTACATAAGACAATGTGTGGTAATGTAACCAACTGAGCTGTATACACTGTACTGTGTTACCACACATAGCCATTCACACTCAGTTGAATTCCATACAAGCAGCACAGAGGTGCAGCTTGTCCAGTTACCTGTTACAGGTGATGGTTTGTACAGTTGTTCTTTGTTGGCTTGAAATGGTATCTTTGAAAAATAAATGCTTTTGATCATTTATAACTTAATTAACTCCATGTGCATGGGTTGGGTGGATGGGTGGGTCAAAGTGTGCATGCCACAACTTGTTATATTCAAAATTAATTAGACAACTTTATTATCAATTTATGTCAATAAACTTGGCATTAAAATGTAGTTTATGATTCATATTTTTAACATTACATATGTTTTAATTTGTTAATTCAATATTGAAACATCTAAATAAATTTTCAATTTTATATGACACATGATGCATCTCTGCTTTGAATTCTCAGTTTTAGATTTTATTTTCTATTATGAGTTTCAGATGCACTATAGATATTGACAGGCCAGAATTTAAAATAAGAACCACCCACCACAAGCTCCTCCCAACTCTTCATGCTTTAGAAGTTACTTATCTACTCATGCTTATTTGTAAGTGGTATGTGTTTATAACCAATAGAAAGGTAATTTTGTGATCTATGTGATTATGATGTTAATTTATTTTGGTAAAAGACACCAATTCCCAAGCAGATATTATTGAGTGAAGACCAAAGTTGGTGCTCTAGTAAGTAATGAAATTTTTTAAACCTTTTTATGGGTTAGTTATAAAACCAGAGAAATTCAAGTAGTTTTGGGGCATTGTGTTTTACTGTTTGTGTTTTAAAATGCATATTTGAAAAACTACACTATTTTTTGGACAACCAACTTAGTGAGAAAAATTTAGAGTACACGAAGACTGGCTTCGGAGCACAAAAAGGCCTCTATCCTGAAGTAAGTGCTAAATTTATTCTTAAGGTGTATTTTTTAGTTATTGATATATTTTGTTTTAACAGAACTAACTAAAATGTAAAAATCAAAAAGTTATTATGTTAGATAAAAAAACTTAAGTGGGAAAAATTTTTTTTTCACCTCGAGGAATGCACAAAGAATATATGTAGTTAGATGTCACTTGATTTAACCTGAAACGTTGTTCACCCTAAACTCTCTGCACTCCCACTGTGTGTATTATTACTATTTGTGGCAGTTAGACATGGCTCAAAAAGCAATAAAACAAAAAAATTAAATCCTTAAATCCGAGAGGATGCTATTAGCATCTGACCAAAAATCCCAATTTACCCATCTGATGGTGACAATGTCTCTTTGACTAATAAAAAATCCAAACTGTGTTATTATCCACCTTTTATAAATAGACCAGAAATTTTATAAAGTATGGTGATAATTATTATGATAACATGAAAATAATTCTGGCTTCTAGAACATGCAAAGAATTATGGGTTTAAAGAGTTAAATGAAAAATAATTTATACTTTTATGAGTCTGAGGGTGTTTAAGATATATGATTGTAATTTATTTTTACAATCTGCCTTCATTCTAGAAAGAAAAAGTTTCATGTAGGCTTGTTTCAAATTTTCCTTGTAGTGGTTACAAGGTTGCTCAAATGGACTGAGCCCATATATTGTTAAGGTTGAGAAAATAACAGATAAAACAAGTTTTATTTATAATAGAAGAAAATTTTTGTCTTCATTTAGGAGGTTTTAGAGGCAGTGAAATGAAATATGAAAACTGAAAGATGAAAAAACGTATTTTTATTCTTAGCATGAAAATCATCTTGCACTCAGAATAATCTGAGTCAGACTGACTAAAGTAAATTCAGATACATGTCTTTATTAATAATTCTGATTTTCTTGTATTTAACATACTAGGTCCAGTTGACCGATGCTATTCATGTAGGGTTAATTTGATAATAGCTTAATCATCTTTTTTTTTTAGAAAAAGTTGTGAAGTACAATATGACATGTCCAAATTAATTATTTTTCAATAACAGGATAAAATCAGCAGGGTCTAGTAGCCATAATACAAGCAGTCATCAGCTGTTTGGTCAGCCACTGTTGGTACCTATACCAAGAAAAACATGTACCTATGCCATGCTTTATGATGCCATCTTTAAAAAGATGTCGTAAGTATCTCATTTCGTTTGGTGTAATATCCTTCTTGTTCTTTACATTTTCTGTCCTTTGCTTCACTTTTTTGTTGAAATATCTATATAATAAGATTCAATATCTTTGTGTGTGTGTGTGTCACATAATTCCTTCTAAACCACTGGTCGCACTGTCTTCTAAGTGGTACCAAACAAACTGTCTTATTCCTGAGTCTACTAATGGTATCATATAGTATTGAAGCACAGATGTAAAGTGAAAACAATCAGTCTAAAGTCATGAGCATATACATAATTCAGAAAAAGGTTTCTCCATTGAAAAATCTAACTGGTGTATTATTTCTCCATAGTTGACCTGTGACAGATGTATGTAACTGGTGTATTATTTCTCCATAGTTAGCCTGTTATAGGTGTATTTAACTGGCATGTTACTTATCCCTATTAAATTTTCACAGTTTAGTCTTTACTGTAGAAAAGGCATAGGCCTAGTTTGAACTTAAAGGGCCATATTAGAAAATGTACAATCTACAGTTTTTCATAAAGGCTTGTAGATTGTATAAAAATAGTTGCAATAAATTTATTTTCCTTTACTCTTTTTTTTTTTAATAAATAACTAGAAGATGTCATATAGTTGGGCAGTTCGAACACATGAAGAAATTTTATTTCCTTTAAAAATGTTAAGATATAGAAAGGTACCTTTAACATATTGATTACTAGGTAATAGTTCCAGGGCTTGCATCAATAGACATTGACCACTCCTGTGCAAACTGGCTGCTTAGCAGGAGCTTGATGAGAATTCCCTTGCTGTCGTTACAGTGACTTTTAGTTGTGTATTGTCCTATTGATTCCCCCATTTTCTGTTTTCCCTAGGCAAACCATATAGTACTTCCATGGTTGTTGCTTTCACCTTACTTGTGTAGAGGTGGTCAATATCTTGCTAGTAGAATTTTGGTGGATTTGATAATGGATTCTTCTGTTGCAAACTTGTCAGCTTTCTTTTAGCTTTACCCCTTCTTGTCCTGGCTCATATATCCAAATGATGGTCTTATTACTTAGTTGCTTTGCTTTCTGCAATCCATCTGAGGACCAACCACTAAATTTTATGCCATATACTGACTATAATCAGTTGAAAATATTATGTTAGTAGCACTGTTTATTTGCATAAGAAAGACTTGGAACAAGTTTTACATCACGTATCATTATAAAAGATTTAGATTTAATTTCTTGTTGTTGTTTTTTTACCCTTTCCCTCTTTTCCAGTTCTTTTTTTTCCTTATTTCTCTCTATCCTTTCAGTACACATATTTCATATCATGGAATATCCCTATTAATTAACTAGTCACTGTAATTTACTACTCTTATTTAGTCTTTATTATAGAAAAGACATAGGCCTAGTTTGAACTTAAAGTGAACCTAATGGACATTAAGCCCTGTTGGCCATTATAGAAAAAGTACAATCTGCAGTCTTTCATAAAGGCTTGTAGACTGTTATAAAAACTTGTAATAAATTTATTTCTCCCTTCTCTTTTTTGTTTTAATTATTAGTAAAGAAGAAGAAGGGATCATATTTTAACATAGACAGATGGAGGTTGAAAGAAAGTACAAGAATGATAGAAAAATTGCTAAGACTAACCTAGAGATATAGTTTAGGAGAATCTACGTATTCTTCTCGTATTAATACAAGCTATTTATTGTAATCTAAAAATAAACTCTATTTATTTAGTTAATTGAAATATTTAAAAAACATTAGTGCAAGTATAAATGTGAGCCTTAAAAACATAAAATCCTAAGCACTTATGCTTCCCACATCTTTATCCTCCAGCAGTTCCCAAGGATATATCCTGTTAAAACGTTAAATATATTTTTTAGAATAATTGATAATTTATATTAAAAAAAATTCTTGCATTGTATTTATGTTTAAATCATTAAAATTAGACTGGTAGTTTTAACAGTTTCTGTTTCACAAAATCTTTGTATAGGCATCCATGTGAAAGTATATATAAACTTAAAATATTCCACTTCCAATGAAAAGTATTTCGTATAGATAGTTAAAAAATGTATAAAAGCTGCATAGGTGATACACCAAGTTACAAAATTAAATAGGTTATAAATTGCCAAAACTTTTTTTCCCCTGAAAGATGATTGAATAGTAGTTTTTTTGTTAGATTGAAACGTCATCTTTGAGAAATAGGTGCTTTTAAAAGCTTATAATATAATTAAATTGTTAGAAATTATGAAATTTCAAAATTATTATTTTTTTTTACATTTGTATTGCACAAGAAACCCTAGGTAATCCTCGGAAGATTCTAAAATTTCTTCATGTGAGAAATGAGGTTAAGAAAGTGGAAATGTAGTCTTGTCAGGTTGTGATATTTTCATACTATGGATAGATATAAATATCTTGATATTACCAGAAATTGTGAATTAGGATTTTTTTGTTTTTTAGAAATTATAGTGCTTTTCTGTATCATGATTGCTCAAAACCTTTTATTACAACTAATTGAAATCATAATGCTGGACATGGGCTTAGAGGATAACATGCCCAAGCTGTGAATCCAAGGATTTATGACTTGTGTCCTGTTTCTGCAAAATATATATCCACTCTTTGGGGCCCTGGGTACTCTATAAAAGTGATGTTCATATCCCACTATTTGATCAGACAAGAGCTGATGGTGGGTGCTTTTGACTATCTGTCTTTCCTATAGTCTATCAGTTCAAAATTTGGGGTAGCTCTGCACAAATAGCCCTTGTATAGCTTTGTGAAATAAATTCTAAATACAATAACAAAATCTTAAAATGCCAATCAAATGACTAAATTACTACTGTGGTTTTTGACAGCAGTTAGTGTTTGTTCATGTAACAGAAATTAGTTTTTCAGTGATATATCTTTGAGGGCTGGATGATTACTTCGATTAAGCAATTAAGTCAAATACCAAAGAACATCAATTGGTGTCGCATAAATAATCAACTAATTAAAATTAATGTTTCTGATTATCACTATCTAAGTGTTGTGATAATAATTGATTAGTTGAAAGTAATCAACTAATGAGCCCAGTGATTAATCAGTTATCAAATTCCATTAATTGCCAAGCTCTAATGTCTGATATAACAGTGAAATTGTTGTTTAATCAGTTTAGTCAAAATTGTTTATTGACTAAAAACAAATATTATAATTTTTGATATTGCTTTGATAAACTAGGTGTTACCTGGTTGTTTTTTTCTCTGTTTTTTTGGGTATATTTCTTAGGCAGTTGGTGATTAAATTAATACCTCTTTTCTTTTTTCATGGTTTAGACGATTTGTCCAAATGCCAGATCCAAATGTGGAGTGGTGGAATGACAATGAAGCTGACATTGTTAATGGAGGTAAAAAAATAAATTTTTGTAAAAATTATAGTTCAATTTTGTTTTTAATTATGCTTGATTTGGTGTCAAAACAACTTTAACAAAATCGAAAATGGAAGTTTAGATTCAGTAAATCATTTTGAAATATCGCGGTAATTTAAAATGAAAAATGCAAAACAAAATACCAAAAGTCTTGTTAAACTATAAAAAAAAACAGTTGTTAGAAATTATGCCAAAGTAAGCTTTGAACTTCCCAAATTGTTCATCAGTCATGACTTATACCAAAAATTCCCCCCAAAAAAATTAGAAAAATAATATTAACTAAAAGTAATAACTTGAAAATTGGTATAGCCAAACCTTCCTTGTTGTCTTATATTCCATTTTCTGTTTGTTTTTATTAGTTTAAAGTATGTGTTTATATTTCTGACTTGTCACATTTAAGTTATATTAAATTTTTGTAAACTTTTTGTGTGAATCTTAACTAATGGTCTAATTTTGGAGATTTTAAACTTCAAGTTTATGCAGCTTATTATACGAGTTGGACTACTGTTCACTTTGACTTTAATCACTCCAAAGTATGATTAGTAAAGTTAATAATTATAATAAAAATATATTTATTGAAATTAGAAATACGAAACATAATTTGTCCTTGGATTTGCATATTTTGTCTTTGAAGCATATAAACTAGTGAGAACATTTTCCCAGTATTATAAAATAATATAAAAAGAGAGACTGTAAAATATTTCTGGTCTGGTAACTGTAGGTTGTGCAATTAACTCAGTCAATGTAGTGATTACCTAGGAATATCAATTAGTATATTGTAAAATTATTGATTAATTACAATTATGACCAAATTTATTAATGTCACAAAAATAATCAACTAATTGAAGTTACACCAATATGCACTACAGAAATTAAATAATCAGCATATTTGTTATTGATCGATTAGGAAAGGCATTTTTTTTAAGCGACTGAGATGAGCTTTATTTGTGACTTAGGCATACATTAATTTTAGAATTACTGTTTAAATGTTGTATGAGAAGTTAGGCTTACCAGTTAACATAGCCTGTATAGAATGTTATTAAAGAAAGAAATTTATTCGTTATTGTTAAGTGGACTGGATGTCACATATTATTTAACAAATGATCCAGAATAATCCACTGAGCAATAGAAGACTTGCAAAATACATTTATATAACACCTATATCTTCTTAACCTATTTACACAAACAAAACTCCTGTTTAGTTACAACTAGCGCTAGTTAGCTAGGAAGCACTGAAAAGGGAAAACATAAGTGTCATCGTGTGTGTTTTAAACACTGCTTATTTAATACAGTAAGCTTTAAGTTGTATGTTTTATTGGTTTATCAGCATGAATGTCTTTCTATAATTTCTTCTAGCCTTTGCTGTAAAATGTAAATGCATTAATCATTTTTATGTGTCCTTTTTAACCTCCATTAGTACTGACAACTTTTCACATTAAAATTGTTTTTTATACTTATAAAGTTGTTAATTTTTAAGTTTTATGTGCTGTTCATAGAATTGGAAAAATGTTCCAAAATGTTGTTAATTAAGTATAATTTGGTATTGCCACAACTTTGATATTTCTTATTAAACTTTGATTTCCATCTTATGCATAATTGTAATCTCTACAAAGAGGGCATCTAATATCATCACAAGTGTTGTTTTTTTTTGCCAAATAGTGAACATTCTACTATCTGTTTTTGTAGAATCAAAGTGTATTTGTATTTTTAATGTATATAATAACTATCACAGATTGTGACAAAAATCTTTACTAATTTTATTATATTACAGAATTAACTTATTTACATTTAGTAATCTTGTGAAAATCTCCATGGAAAAACCCGTGGAATGATTTTAAGAGCTGATTGTTACAGATTTTGTACCATGTTGTATATATAATTTTTTATCTAAAACAGTTTAGTATTAAAAAAGTAACTTAATCCTGACTTGTATTTATCATATTAAAAAGGGGTAGTTTGAAAAGGAGAAAAATTAGTCTCGTCAAAATAATTGATTAGTTGAATGTTATCAGCGCCCGACGATTAACCTATTAGCATATTTCACTAATAGTCCAGCTCCAAACAAGTTTGGTATTTACTTCAAATTATTCTAACTAGTTGAAAAGAATGATTCAGTAACATATGTCTCGTCATTGTTGATTGCTTGTAGCATCAGTGAATGTAAACCTTATCTTAACATATATTTTAGTATATGTGTATGTATGTAAGATATGTTAACCATGAAAAGCTTTTCATTTGCAAATTTTTTATTATATTTTTTGTGGAGGCATGGCTGAATAATTGTGTCACACACACATATATATATACACACACACACACACACACACACACACACACACACATACATACATACATATATTCAAAGTTTAATTTACATTTCAAAATAAACTTCTGTTTAACAATTTCTATATGGGCATTGTCAATTTGAGAAGTGTGCATATCAGTAAACTTAGCATCAAAATGTAGCTTATATTATCTAAGTTTTAATTTTGTAATTTCAAAAAGACATATATTAAAAAAGAAATCTCTGTTGTGTGACACACATGCTCTAAAGACTGTGTAACTTCAATAATATAGCTTCTTATAGTGTCTGATAATTAAAAACACAAACTATAAATAATGACAAGTTCAAATATAAAGTTTAAACATCATATCTTTTCCATTTGCTGAGATATCAGTAAATTTGTCCAATCTGTCAGAGGAGCCTTACCCATCTTTCCATAATTTTCAAGATAGTTTTTTAAGCTGTGTGTCCATATTTGATGGACATGTTTTCTCTTCTATTTCTAGCTTACAACTTTCCTTTTGAAATTGTCAGCAAAAGACAGTAGTTGAGAAGTACTTGATGTGTGTTAACCAAAATCATTGCTTGTAGCAGTCACAGAATATTTTTAAACTACTTAAAGTTAGCCAGTGAAATTACAGTAGTTTTGGAACATTCTGTTCTAGTGCCTGATATATTTTTTTCTGTTCTAAAATGTGTATTTGGAAGCTACATTAATTTTTGTTTGGAAAATTAATTTAGAGAAAAGAAATGAGTGACAATTCACATAGATTGCAGTCCAACATACATAAGTGTATGAGGAAACTACTTTTGGTCCCACTCTGATTTATTACTTTTATGTATAAAAAAACAAGCAATAAAAACCATAACATAAAAGAATATGGGTTTGTAAGGGTTACCAGTTGAAATTATGAAGATAATTAAGTTGAAAATGTCGTGACATATGATGTACTTAGAAAAGAATAAAAATCCTTTTATTTTCTAATTTTAAATTTTTGGTTATGCATTGATAATTTCACTAGAGGTAGAGAAAGGAAAAGATAAAATGTATAGTTTTACAGAAAAACTATTCATTTAAGAGGTTCTAAAACTATGCAAGATAACAGAAGTATTTTTATTCTTAGAAAGAAAATCACTTTTGACTTAGACTCACTTAGTAAAGACTTCATAGAGACAAATCTTTGATAAAAAATACTGTATTAATAAATCAGATTTTTAATATACAAGAGACTTGTAATGTTTACTAAAAGTTTTCCAGATTTCATGAAGATAATCTCGGTAGATTTAAAGTCATGGGACGTATAGTTTCACAGTTTCTAGATCAGTCATATTGACTGGTGCATGTGGAAAGGGCAAAAGCAAATGGCTTATCAAATTGGGGGGGGGGGATATCAAATGAGAAGTGAGTAGAACTATTCATATATACTGTTCTGTTAAATATTCCTACTTATAAAGATAATAATACCTAGTTTCATCAGTGTTGTGTATCCTACCTGTTAAAGATATTCTAGCTGATTGGTTCCTTTGAATTATTTGCATAGTTAGACTGACTTGTAAAAAATTGAGAAAATCCACATGTGCTGCTTGCCCCTGTTTTTGTTATTCCAGCAGTACAAGCTGCTAGAAATGCTGGTCATTTCCTTGTATTTTATTTCTTTCTAACATGTTTTGTCTTTATTGAGTTGCAACAGCTATATGATTTAATGTTTGAGTATTTATCATTTCTTATTATATACTTTGTGAACTAATATTAATTGATGCTTCTAGAGTTTGTAGATAAATTTGTAAATTTTTCATGGTCTCTTCCATACTTCAGTAAGTTACTGATTCGTGTGTTTTATCATTCATTATTATTGTATATTTCAATTACAAGTTTATTAATATTAAGTTTCTAACATTACATTTTGTTGTGCAGAAGTTGAAATGACCAATGGAGATGAATTGGAAAATGAACATCAGGATGAGCAGGATGAGTTAGAAGAAGCAGAAATGACAGAAGAAAGCACCACTGGGTACCAGAGGCTCTTTTCTCTCTTAAGTGTTAACGCCTATGGTAATGCTGAAGTAGAAAGGTTCAAAAATAATGATCAGCCTCTGAAACTTGGAAGTAAGTACTAACTTACTTAGCATAAGGAACATAATCTTGTGATTTATTAAAATGGACACATATGGATTTAGTTGTATTATTTACAAACCTTTCACCATCTGTTGACTATATAAAAGTATTGCTTGCAAAGAAATGTACTGGAAATGGGGGTAATACATGAACCTCAGTGTAAATTCACATAAAGTAAGACATGAGGGGGAAATAATGAAATGTCTTAGTCCTAATTTTTTGATCTGACTTATTTGTTCTCAATATCTTTTCCCGTGATTCAGGTCGTACATATGTGGCAATAGACTGGCACCCAAAGGCTAGAGAAAAATTTTATGATGACAGAGAAGCAAAGGTAAAAAAAGAGGGAAAAACCTGTGTTTTATCAGTTGTATTGAGGTAATTAAGGTAACAGTTTACGACATTGATATGATTTATCAAGAACGTGTATTAATATAATAACTCAGAGTGTAGTGTTACTATAAATGTCTTAGTTTTGTATAAAGAAATTTATCTTTATGAATAATAGTTAATATGAAATATTCTATCTTAAACATTCAGTTTGGAACCTTCATGAACATTAAATATTTAAACAGTTAAAAACATTATTAACTAGCTCGAGTACCTGTCCCCTGGATGGAAGTTTTGTAAATTCATGAAAGGTTGCTTGCCTTATATGTAATTGTAAAAAATGCAAAAACACCCCTAAAAACTGCAGATGTGAAACCATAAATTTACATGTATCTCCACATGGACCCAACTAACCTTCATGCCAAATTTGGTGAAGATCCATCAACAGGGGGCGAAGTAGGGGTAAAAAAAATGCCCATAAAAAAACATAAAATGCAAAACCGAAAATTTGTATGTACCACCGCATGGACCCAATGAACCTCCATACCAAAATTGGTGAAGATCCACCCACACTCTGCAAAGTAGTTACATGGACAGACAATAAACAGTACTATTATTTATATAGATACACTAAACATTTTATGCCTTTAGAAAGAAAGAAAAAAAATGTTTGCACTTTTTTTTTATCCCCCATGATCCAGGAATATGAAGTACATGAATCAGTCAACACAAAACTGTCTCAGAAGAAACATGTGATCCAGTTGAGTGAGTGTCTTGAGCTTTTCACTACAACCGAGAAGCTAGGAGTTGATGATCCCTGGTACTGTCCAACTTGCAAGAAACATCAACAGGCTACCAAAAAATTTGACCTTTGGTCTCTACCTCGTGTTCTCATCATCCACTTAAAACGATTTTCATACAACCGTTACTGGAGAGACAAGCTGGACATCTTGGTGGAGTTTCCAGTCAAGTAAGTTCACATATTTTTTATCTAAATTTTTTTAGTTTAGTCAAATATATTGAAATGTTTTCCTACAACACAGTTAACTCTGTTCAAAGTTAAAGTAAGAGTCTAATACATTAAGACACAAACAGTTTGCCACCAAAATATTTGGTTGGCAGTTCATTTATTTAGCAAGTCATGGAGTTACTAAACCATTGTGGGTAAATTATTAATAAGCAATTTTAAATAGCTATTAATAAGCAATTTTAAATAGCTATTCATAAGCCATTTTAATAGGTCATAAAGTATATTCTAAGGACTTGCGAGTGAAAGCAAGGAGGAATAAGTCCTCATTTGACATCTATGCTATGTCTGTCAAGTCCAATAATGACTAGTTCTTTCACTCAATACTAGGGCTACAACAGATATAGGCCACAGCACGTGTAAAAGTTCGTTTGCTGTGTCCACTACTTTTTAATTTGCCACACAAATTTATGATTTGTATCAGTATCCAGATGGTTATACACCTTATTAACAAATGTTTTCTCATCATTTATTGGGCTTCAAAATTTATGGTACCAAGTAACTTTTCTTATCAATCACTTGACTATCATCACCTGTACAAAAATTAACTCGGCGATTCCATTGAAATTATGTAATAACAGTAATTGTGTATTGTTACAGCTAGAACATACAAAAACTAATTATTATTTACTTAACTTGAACAGTGTAAAAAGAAGGACCATTTATTTGAATTTGTAGCCTGGTAAAGAAATCTCTACAATTATTGTTTTTATTATGCAACCTAAGTTTTCCAACAGTGAATAATTAGTTTTAGACCTTCCTGTTAGAAGTGTATATCGATTAACTTATCTTAGTTAATGCAATTTGTTGACTAGAAAGTGAAATATTGAATCTCAGAAAGCTAATTTCAGTTATTTTCACTGTGTTTTGATAAAATTTACAGATTGATTTTTTTTTTTAATCCTTACTGTATAGCCTCTGGATTAGAAGGGTGTGAAACTGATTTTACAGAACAGCTTCTTAGTTCTGTTTTGGAGATGTTTTCAGATATTAATAATGTTTGTTTTTCTCTATTTTTATTACATCTTAATTTTATAAGACATCATATCTATTGACTTACTGCTGTACTGTCAACATGCTTTTCTGTGAAAGATAGTCTTATTATGTGACAAAATCAGTCATTTTAAATTTAGTAATCTCATAAACGTTACATCTTTGCCTTTTGTCTCACCTATAAATTTAATTCAAATGTATTAAAAATTCTTATTTTATTTAAATATGAAATAAATATAGTGAATATATTCTCTAGTAACCATACTACAGAGAAAGAAGTGTAATTATTATTTTGACTATTGACATAGTAAAATGTGTCTGTTAGTAGGTAAACATGCATTTATAAAAATGATACGTTAAGTTGTATTTTCATGAATTTTGTAGTCTTATTCTTACTTAAGGTTTTTGATTGACTAGATGAAGTTTTTTCTTAATAGGGGATTAAACATGGCTAAGTATATTATCAACCAAAATCACGGACCTGCAGTTTATGACCTGATAGCCGTAGCCAACCACTATGGTGGGATGGGTGGTGGACACTGTAAGTATAGGTGTGCAGTATATGGTGCTCAGTGTGAGTCATTGTTGTTACTAAAACAGTTGCACTTTTCTGTACTTATTTAAAAAATATAAACAATGACAGTAAAATTTATTAAAATAATTTCAAATGGATGACCAAGTGAAAATATATTCACATGTCATTTTATTTACTGTTGTATGTGTGTGTTGCTTTATTCTCAACTGCTATTAGTGGTGTGACACTTTTTTGTAGAGTCTTGGGGGAAAGGGTGGTTTAGGAAACACTTGTAAGTTTAGGTGGAATGGGTGGTGAACTCTGTAAGCACAGTAGCAGAAGCAAACCTATTCGAAGTTCTTGCAGGCTAATTTCACTTTCAGTGGTCACAGTATTGTAACAAAATATGAACTGTAAATATAACAGGATATACCATAAGTTTTACTAAGAGTATATACAATATCCTTTTCTAATATTTTATGCATTCTTTATCTTCAATTTAAAATATATTTTTTATAGTTATCATCCAGTGTTGTTTAATTTGATTTTATTAGTTTTATTAGAACACTAGTAATATTCAGAAACAAGGAAATCTCTGCCATTCAGCAGAAATATGTAGAACTCATAATATATTTATAGATCACAGTTTATCAATGTTTTTGTGTGGTCTTTAGTAGCTAGCACTTTAGCATTATGTTTAGATTGTGAAAAAAGAAACTATTGCCAGCATAAGAAATCCCATTGTAAACTTGTTGTACATTAAGTTTAATGATAATGATGTAAAATTAGCATTAAATAGTTGAAATATCTGAGGGGGAAAAAATGGTTTTAAAACAACAGGAAAGTATTGTGTGTGTTGCTGAGTAGACAATCTGTCTGGAAAGAATTTAGTCTGAGTTCCAAAATGTCATCGGAATGTAATGCATTCTGAACAGACTGTTCAGGAGTACATGCCATAAATCAATCTTGTTATGAAATACTTTAAAGGACATCAGTAATCTTCTTGAAAGCTTTTTTTCACTTCTTCACATACGTTGGGTTGTTCTTTTTATGATTGTACATGTTGAGAAAACAGATTAATTAAAAATCATTGGCTTACTGGTCATTTCTGTTGTGGTGTGCTTGAGAAATTTTAGAAATGGTTATTAAAGTTTCAGAATAATTCAAAGAGATGTTGTCAGATTTAAAGTATGATGATAATTTGTTTCTTTGCATTGCACATGCCATTTTGTAGTTTAATAATTTATATGAAAGGAAGGTTTTACTGTGTTATTACTTTAAGAAATTGCTTCTTTAACTTCCCCAGGATTGTAAAAACATTATATGTCATGTTGAAATAACAAATGAATAAGAACAGTAAAATTTTAGATTGTAGTTAAAGAGAAGGTGTTTTTGAGGCCATCCTGAGTTTCTGCCACAGTAATTACCCCGAGTTTGTGCAGCATCCCTTTTAACCCTTGGATTACTAATTTGTTTCATACCTTTCACTACAAGTGGGGTACACATGTTGCATCATTTTGAGTAATCTTATGTTTTTGCCTGTTATAACACTTAGTGTATACAAATTACAAGAAAATTGTATTAAATCACTTGTTTTTATATGTAAAATACATAGTAAGTTCTACCAGTCATTAGTCGATTGAATTATACTATTGATGGTATTTTTTGTGTAACATTTATCATGTAACCAAAAAACTTTTGGACCAAGAAGCAATTTAGTACATCAATAGCTTAGAAGAATGTATTTAAAAACCCTATAGGTCCCTGTAGGCTCCACTAGGAATGTTAGGGTTAAAGTTTTCAAAAACCCTTATCAAATTAAACCAGCTGAAATATACACTGAACTGATCATATTTATTAATAAGCTCAAACTCTTTGCCAATCTGATTTAAAGTTTCTCCTGATAAGGGCAAAATATATGAATCCAAACATTATCCTAGGCAAGAAAATTGAACATTCAGTATGAAATTAATACAATCAGAAAATAGTTTTTCTACCAACTTGTTCTATATGTTTTTATTTGTAAATTTTGCTAGAAATTGTTTAGAATTTATAGTAAGCTATTAGAAATTTTTAATTAGATATATTTTTTAAACAAAGAAAATATGGATGTTGCCAAAAGAATTTTTTTCTTTATTTGAATGCTATATACAAAAGGTGTGGCCATCAAACCAGAACTGGTAAATTTTGTGTATATGTGAAGTGGCTAGACTGAGTAGCAAAAGTTATTTTGGAACTGAAAAGAACCTGTAATACATTTTGAGATATATGCATCAAGGTTTGCTGAGGATGAAGGATGGTTCCCGTTTCAGAAATTTTGTCCAATTATTTTTGTGTATAACAACTGTGGAAAGTAGGTTAATGAAAGTTGTATAACTCTGAGATATATTCTGCTATTATTTCATTGTCTAGAATGAGAATTTATTGTGATTGTTAGCAGTCTATACAATTACCTTATTTTTCAGCTGTTAATCTGCTGCCATCTCAAGGGGATTCCTGAGAAAGACTGTGACAGGAGCCAGGAATCGAACCTGGGTTTTCTCAGGACTCTTCTTTGGACATTGCCAGTTAATTTTTACCTTATTTTTCAGCTTTTAATCTGCTACTATTTTAAGGAGAGTTCTGAGAGAGACACTGACCGAAACCAGGGCTTTCTCAGGGCTCTCCTGAGGATGATATTTGATAAACCTTCTCTCCACAGGCATCTTTTGCTGTGCATGTCATAAGGTTTTAGTGAGTTACATTCAGAATTTAATTACTACTTTCTTTTCATGATATACCAATAAATATAGCATACAAATGTAGCTAATAATCCATATTTTAATAGTATTTAAGTTTGAAGTTCTTACTTTTATAAGGCAATATTTAAAAAAAGATCTATAGTTTCCTCTACTGTGAGAATTGTGGCATTTGCTCTCTATGAATCCCCTCTTCACTAATTTATTTACCACCTCTCCAAGAAGTGTAAAATTTAATGTAAATTACTCCTGATAATATCATCATCACTCAGACAAAGCACAATTTTCATAGCCTTCAATGTTATTTGGTTACAGAGCCATGAAATTGACAATCAGATACCTCTTTCTATGCCCACCTGTCACATCGTGTCCTTCAGAAATTACCAGTAGTTCTCTCTGACGTTCAGTACTATATTATTTATAACCAATAGAAAGCCAAGGTTTTCAGCTGTCAAATGACATTAGGTTGTTTCCTGTAAAGAGAATTGTCAGTTTTGCTTTCCGTTCAAGCCTGATTCCCATGAGAAACACATCAATGAGGTTAGATGAAGTTTTAACAGCTCTTGTTATATAGTTAGAAAGCCAGGAAAATTGTGATAGTTATGAAATACTTGTGTGCTTTTTGCACTTTATTATTCTGTGTTCTTTAGGATAAACAAATGTAGTTTCATATTAAAATTTGAAGTTATGTTCTATAAAGAAAAAAAGGGTAATTTAGATTTTTTTATTTTTTTTTGGTGGTTATGAGGTCAGTCAAATTGACCAATCATGTATAAAGCTAGGGTAGAGAAAATAACATAAAATATAAAGTTTTACTGAAGAAAAACGTTTGAAGTTTATTTAGAAGGTTTTATAGATTAGGTGGATAAAAATTGAGATTTTTGAGACGAAGAAAAGTGTTTTTAATCTTAACGTGAAAATCACTTTACACAAGGACTAGTTAACAAAAATACTATTTATATATTCACGGACACATCTTTAGTAAAAAAATACTTCATTAAAAAATGTGATTTTTTTGTTTACAACATACTTGTAATGTTTACCAAACGTCTGACAGATTTTGTGAAGATACACAAAGTGTAATAAAAGTTATAGTATGGAAGCTATGACGAGTACAAGACGGTTACGAAGTTGGTCAATTCAACTGACCTCTTAGCAAGAGAGTTAACAGCAAAACTAATTGATAACTAACAACCAAAGAGGAAAATTAGTAAATAGTTAGTGATTAGTCTTAAGTGATTGTTTAGATTAGTAAACACGATAATGATTAGTATCTAGATGTCATAACTTTATTGCAAGTACTAGTATTAGTGAAAAGTGGTTTTATAAGATTTCTTTCAAGAGTTCTATGAATAGGATAACCCACTAAATTTGATAAAGTATAAATATCAGATAGCTTGTAGGTTCTAGATGAAAAACATTGGATATATGCTGATAATAGAAATCTCTACAATATAAGAATAAATTCACTGTTTAAATGATACTTACCTATTAATAAAATGCTATTTTTGATCATTGTTACCAGTGGTAGTGACATGAATAAAATAAAAGTTTGAGTGAGTTCAGGATCATTGTTTGTAACATCAAAAGACAAAAATCTTTAGAATTAAGGATCAACTTTTGATCACCAAGTGTTGTATTTTGTGACAAGATCGATTAAAAACTTCAGTCATCTGAGAAAGAATGCAATATATGATACAACACTCCTGTGAGGATTTTCAGAGAAAACAAACTAATGAATAAGTGATGTAATATTATGATTATTATTTTTTTCCACTATATGTTACATTGAATCTAAATTTAGGGTTCCTATTAGCTACTACTGTATTATACTTGATCTTTTGGCATGTTCAAGATTCAAGATGTTAAAAAACTTGTTATAGACTCAACAGTACATTGTGGTGGTAGTAAATTACATTACTATTTTGTCTTCTTGGTTAGATACTGCATATGGAAAAAACAAAGACACTGGACAATGGTATTACTTCGATGATAGTAGTGTTTCTTCTGCTATAGAAGATAATATAGTGGTAAGATTTTTTAGATATGATTGATAAGAAATAATGTATGCTTTTTGTATGTATTTTGAAATTCTGTATATATTTCAATTATACTTTCAATATAATTATAACATTTATACTTGTATTTATATATATAGATTATGTGCAATGATTGTTTTTTAACTTTTTCATTAATTAGCAGATGTTTTGTGAAATTTAAAGTTATTATTTTCATAAAAATTTAAAGATATGAAGTTGAAAATTTAATCTCAAGTTTTAATCTTTTTAGAGATATTTAATATTTATCAGTGTTTGTTTTTTACCATATTGGATGTAGAACATATTAATGTGTTTGTTTTAGATAAAGACAATTATGATTTTTCTATAACATGCTGAAGACTACAAGATAGAAGTTCCAATATGTGGTGAAAATTCAGAAGTAGTAGAAATAGAAGCTTAATGTACTAGAAATTGAGGAAAACTATTGTCAAAATATAAATTTATATCATAAGAGGTTTGGAGAAAAAACAAATATTACAAATATAGATTTATCATACTTTATGAGGTTGAGGAAAACTATTATTAAAGATATATAAGTTAATCATACTAGAAGAGATTGAGGAAAACTATACACCCCTCATAAGTCTGGGTAACATTCTTTAATACCAGCTTGGGGGTTGGCTTGAAAAGTGTCAATGCAGAAACATCCAAAGAGGTATTTTTAGAGCTTAACTAGTCAAGATAATTAAATCTGGGTATTTGTTTTTGAGTTTTAAAAACAAGTGATACAACTATAAGCGATTGAATGCACTACCAGACAGCATGAACCCTGGTAGTAACCAAAGATAAGGGACTTAACCAATAGTTTATTTTTCATTGATGCTTTGCACTCTTATATTTTTATGTTTACTCTTCACTTAGGAGACAAATGATTTATCCTTAGCATCAGTTGGATAAGTGGCAATTTCCTAGTCACCCATATGAATGATGTTGAATTTTGCTAAAACCACTATAGATGTAATTGTGAGGTTTAATTCCAGAACCGTGTTTACCACAGTGCTTCTAAAGGGATTCTGAATGCCACTGTGAACAGTCTGAACTGACCCATGTTTCTTGTACTGTGCTACTAAGGCAGTGACGTGTTGACAAATTTCAGTCTCCGATGAGAGGTCCAAGCTATCAGGATACTTCTGAAGCAAGACTTCCAACATATGACCTGGACCCATTTTGTTGTGGTTGACCATGACACCTTGCATGAACATTTTGTAAATGTGGTTTTCAAATGCTTGATATACCTTTGCACATAGATATTTCCATAGCCCGGTTGCTTAGCCCATCTCGGTGAAAATCTCTCCCACATATATTCATTAATGTTTTGAATTGCTATGTGATCAGCAGTATTATTATCCAAAGAGCTTCTGGACTCAGCAATTGATTGTTATTTTGTATCAATAAAATCCACACTACTGGTATCGATAAGAGAAACAGCACACTTTAGACCATTAGAGAGTAAGTCACTGCTGGTTCTAGCACCTTTGCATGAATTAATTTCTTTTTTTTTAACAGATAGGAACCATCTTTGACACACTTGACATTGTGTTTTTCATCAACATCCTCTGGCTCCTGCCAAGTATCGATCATGTATCCTGCATGGCAACTTTTTTGCTCGACACTTTGTGCACATTCCCAACTTTTGCTTTCCTTGCTTTGAATTTCTGTTCACCTGTTGTCTTGCAGGCATATAATCCATTTTACTGCTTATTAATGAGCAGCCTGTAATTTCCCCAGTAAATTCAAACTGATTGGTATCATCAGTAATGAAGTCTTTATCATTCAATTTATCAATGATGTCATTTACTTGACAAGAATCTTTGTTTTTAGTGTCGTCTAAATTCTCACTGCTGACTTCAGTTTTATCTCACTGAATTGTGATATACAATGGTTTTGTCAAATCACTAATATTGATTTTAATTGGTGCCATATTAGAGTATTCATAGATATACAGTTCATTATCACCCACAATAGCTTCATTGAATCATTTGAGGTTGCCAAAGAACTCAAAGGAATCCCTCCCACTAAAGCCCCCACAACAGATTGACAAAGAGTGAATAAGAACACAACGGTATTCTTTAGACCACCACCGCTCAATAATGCAGAGTATAGCTCCTTCGGAGGTATAACACTGATGCCCATGTTGACGAAATTCATAACCAACATCAAAGCAATGGCGAAATGACCATTGATACATCCCTTACCATCTTGCGCTTCAGTATGTATGAGCAATTTCAAGGCAATTTTGTGCTTCAAACAAATGATGAGTATTCCAAGTAGCAACATTCCATTCTGATAGCATTTGGTGTTGTCCAACTGAATGTAAATTTTCTTCACAAGCACAAAGTCCTTTTGTAGTCCTATTACTATGCCTTCGAAAATTGATAACACATCAATCCAGTCTTATTTCGAATCTCCTGATGAGATATGGTCATAGTATGAGACCTTGTAATCCAGCATATTTTTATTTGTTTCAGACTCAGTGTTACAGGTGTATATCATGCACCCATGCCACAACATACCCTTCTTACCATAATGTTCTATGGTTTTTCTCTAAAATAAACTGGCTCATACTTCATCTTGTAATCAGGCACCATTAATACTTTGTCATTTGCTAAATTTTGATAAATATGGAGCAGTCTAATTTGCTGATTTGTTACACATATTTGGTTGCACATACATAGTTTCAACTTGTGCTTACAGTCTTTCAATAAATCATAATATTCTTCATTTACATTGTCCATTATAAAATGAATAATCTGAAAAGGAAGTTGGCAATGCACAAAAGTTGGTTGTATGTACAAAATAGTATTATGATATAATGCATAATGGATGTTGTGATTTCTTGAAATGGTTGTATTGATATGTCCCTTGTCAAGCTCATACTTCATAAAATTATCAATTACTGTATTTCTATTCCTTTAAGAGAAATGTCTAGTTTTTCTTCACAGTCAATATGCTGTAACATTTCAATGTGTCTTGCAATAAAATCCACAGCTTTTTATGTTTTTTTGTCAAATGAAGTCAACATGTTGAAACACTTCATGACTGACCAATAGAAAATTCTGTTGTCTCTTAGTGGATATTCTTCAAGGTAGTCACAATATATGTATTCCTTAATTCTTGTACGTGTGAACCTTGGGACTGTAATTTCTTTGCCATCAATAATAAAGGTATTTGAATCCCAAGAAAATGTTTTATGTTTTGGGGAGACAACATGAATTCTATAGCTTTCTGGGCAGACGAGGTGCTGTAATGCTGTACATCTCTTTCAGAAGATTATATTTCTTTTCCTGAATGTCAATGAGCTGTGTTGAATGCTTTTTTTCCAAAGTTTATCATTATTGCTTTCATTTTCTCAAAAGAACAAGCATTTGACATTGCAGCTAAAAGTACTTTCTGTTGTGTACTTCTCTCTGGCAGGGCTTCTTGTAAGTTCAACAAGCTTTGTAGTACTTTGTCATCTCATTCTCTTTTTGTTGCTTACCATAGTCTAAAACAGAAACCAATAATCCATTAGGATCATTGGGTACAATAATTGAACATATGCACTGAAGAACCATAAAAGCAAAAGTCTACCACTATGCTTGAACTGCATGAAGGATGTTCATTTAGGCATACTTCTGTGCCAGGTAAGTTATTAGTTAAGTTGGAATCTTAAACCAAAATAATCACAAATACCAGTAGCTTTGATTGGAGCTTTCTGTTTATGGCTTCTATTGTTTCCAAGATACAGGAGTGACAGCTACATCAAGGTTATCCTGAACTTCATCAGTATCACTCAAAACTGGAGATTCAACTGCACCATCATCAACAACATCCTGATATTCATTAGCATCACTACAATCCTGAAATTCAATCTCATTCCCATCAAAATCATTACCTTTTTCTTTTCCTCTTGTTCATAGTGCAACCCCCACATTTACGATGTAACTTTGTATTTGGCGATAAACAATCACAAGAACACGAAACTCAATTAGTACGCTTACATTTACAAGTTAACTTCCCCATAAGTAACATTTATATCGAGACGTTAGTACCTTTATCTGGGTATGGGGGTCTGGTCTGTCACCGGCCTGAATAGTGTGCCAAACACATCCTTTTTGAACTAATCAAAATGCTCACAAGTTTTCATAACAGTACAAAAAAGGGCTGAAATGGGGTGTTTCTTGCATCACTGGTATTCATCAACTAGTATTAAAAATATAAGTATCATACTATTCTTAAGAAGTTGAGGGAACTAGTATTAAAAATATAAGTATCATACAATAAGAGGATGAGGGAACTAGTGTTAAAAATATAAGTATCATACTATTCTTAAGAAGTTGAGGGAACTAGTGTTAAAAATATAAGTACCATACAATAAGAGGATGAGGGAACTAGTGTTAAAAATATAAGTATCATACTATTCTTAAGAAGTTGAGGGAACTAGTATTAAAAATATAAGTTTAACATACTATAAGAGGTTGAGGGAAACTAGTATTAAAAATATAAGTTTATCATACTATAAGAGCTTGAGGGAAACTAGTATTAAAAATATAAATTTATCATATTATTAGAGGTTGAGCGAAAGACTAAATTTAACTAGACATGTTTACATGTTGAGGGAAGTAAACAAATTTGTATGTTCATTCACCACCTGCTTACCTATACCTATAAATATCCACCAACAGTAATCACAATTTACACAACATTCAGCCTTGATAATGGATGCAGAATGCATTCGAAACGCGTCGGCCAACTCATCACTAACTACTAACTTTTACCCGTTGTTCTA